TTTTTTTTTAATTGATTGCAAGGCACTGGCAGGGGTGCTATTATATTTATTTGTTCTGGAGATGTAAATTATAGCAGCGCAATGGCATGTGTGTTTTTTAGTTGATTTGTTTCGTTTTAATTGCTAATAGGGTATTTACGAGTGTATATACGATGGATGAACCTGAAAGTATTAGGCATAAAGAGGTCAATACTGAAATTGATGATCAATTTGCTCCAGATGGAAAGGATGATGTTGTTAATGTGAAAGAAGGGTTAGCTTCCCAAACATATGATAGTTTACGAATGCTTACTAAGGAAGATGTGTTCCAAATGAAATTCAATTCAGAGGATGATGCTTATACTTTCTACAATGCATACACTAAGGTCATCGGTTTTAGCGTACGAAAAAGTAGAAAAAGAATTACTGGAGACAACAAATTTGTAGAGAGTAGGAAATGGGTTTGTTCAAGGGAAGGTGTAAGAGAAAAGAAATACTTGCAACGTGTGGAACGGGTAAGAACTCCTAGGGCAGAAACTAGACTTTTTGTGGTGCCACATTTCGTGTGCGTTACGACAAGACAGTTATGAAATATGTTGTGACCCACTTTGTAGGGGAACACAACCATCCCTTGGCAGCACCACACTGCGTCCCTTTTCTTTGGTCGCATAGGTTTGTAACAAGTGCAGACCAAGCTCAAGCAAAGGCCATGCGCAATGTGGGTATGAAAATGAGTCAGACCATGGATTTTATGGTCCATCAGTCAGGGGGTTATGAGAAGGTGGGGTTCATTCACAGAGATTTGCACAATCAATTCCAAGCTGAGCGCAAAGTACAACTCGCAGAAGGGGATGCAGAGTGTGCGTTAGGATACTTATCAGCTAAATTAGATGCAGATCCATTATTTTTTTTCAAATACATCGTCGATAAGAACAACCGGTTGGACAAGATTTTCTGGGCAGATTGTAGGTCTCCAATGGATTATGCTGCATTTGGTGATGTATTGGTATTTGATACAACTTATCGTACAAATGCATATAAGAAGCCATTTGTAATTCTAGCTGGCGTGAGTAACCATTTCATGACAACTATATTCGGATGTGCTTTGTTGCCTGATGAGACAATGGATATAGCGATCCCGGGTTTACCCTTGTTGTACAGTGATCCGGACATGTGTCCGTAGATGTTGGTAGTTGATTATTATCTTGTTTACATCCTTTTTACTTCGTATTTGGGTTATAGGATGTGTGGGCAGGTTTGTTACAGGTTGGTTGAGTTTAGAAACCAAAACTAGTTGCCCAGATTTTGACCTGTCCACTCGAGCGGGGGTTTTGGCGCTCGAGCGGGAATTGCACCCATCCCGTATTTTCTGTGCAGTGTTGGACGCTCGAGCGTGGAGTTGGCCGCTTGAACGGGGTTGTGTGAGTGTCGCTCGAGCGGGGAGTTGGAAGCTCGAGCGGAGACTTGGTTCTGTAAAAGTTCTGGGAGTGTGTATCCGCCGCTCGAGCGGGATGTTTGACGCTCAAGCGGGAGTCTGTGAGTGACGCTCGAGCAGGGTGTTTGAAAATTAAGCGGGGCGACTGGGTTTAAGTTCCGAGTTTTGACTTTTCAAATCACTTTTTCACTTTCTCTTCTCTCTCCTACTTTCCCAAAAACACCAT